GAGCCTGCCGTCACGGCCATTTGGATCTGTTTGACGAGTCGGGGGTGGTGGCGAAATTATGAGCGGCGAACGGGGCCAAGGTGGGGCGGCAAACGGGGCCCAGGTGGGGCAACATGGGGCTGGGGCAACATGGGGCTGGGGAAGAATACGCACGGAAATGTCGTCAATGTCTGTCTCGGAGATTTCTTCGGCGTGGACTCGGACCTTGTTGCCGTCATCGTCTATGGGAGTGCGCGATCGAGAGGAATGGGGCCAAAGAGGGGTGAATTGCAAACAAGAACGACGGGGCGATGGGGCGATAGAACGAGGAAGAGGGTGGCAACGGTGACGCATGAGTACCTTCGAAGATGACTTCAATCTCCATCTCAAAGCCGGCTCGTGGCTTGCCACGCACGTGGAGCATGCGAGCCTCGCCCTTGCACTTGGAAACCTGACGATGGGAAGGAGGGGGCAAGGCGGTCACTTGAATACAAAGTCGAGGCACCACGAGCAAGAAGCGGGTGGGGCGCGTAGGTCTTACCGAAGTGACGCGCATCCCGGCGGGCGTCAGCTCGGTGAGCAATTGCTTGAGGTGCTCCCGGGCCCACTATCAAGTCCGAGCCGTCGAGTGAGACGACGCACGAGGGCCTTGTGGGTGCCAGAACTTCAGGTGCGAGCGCGAGCCAACGTGGTACCTTTGAGCAGTCTTGCTCTTCCCAAGTACCAGCCTGATTCCACTGAGACGCCATGACGTCGGTCCTCTACAAGTGCGCGCGCGCGTGTGTGCGTGCGTGTGTGTGCGAGGGTGAGAGACAGAGGGATCTTGAGATCAAGCAGCGCGAGCAGAGAGGGAGAGAGGAGAGGCGAGAAGGACGCGAGAGCAGGACAGGAGAGAAGTTGCAACAGAGAAAGGTAGGAGTAGAGTCCAGCAGGCTGGAGTAGCGGCGAGCATACCAGCCGCACACATGCACACACATATGCAGACACCGGCAGAGGCGGCTGCCACGGGGAACACCACAGCACTTGCTGCTCGCGCGCACCGTACCAAAAACTTCTGGAAAAAAAAAAAAAAAAAAAAAAATCGAGAGAGAGAGAGAGAGAGAGAGAGAGAGAGAGAGAGAAAGGAATGAAGCAGAACAGAACGGCTGGGGAAAACAGACTTGTGCTGGTTTGCGTGAAGGATGATGGAAGACCGACTGCAAGAGGGCTGCTTGTGCGCGCGTGTGCGTGTGCGTGTGTGTACGCAAAAACATCAAAGGCTTAGGGAAAGAATTCAATTTGATTGCATGGCAAACAAGAAGAAAAAAAAAAAAAAAAAAGAAGACTCTGCAGCAACTGGGGCGCTTGACTCGGGCGGCGTGGGTCCGCAAGTTTAAGAAAAAAAAAAACGCACCGAGAAAAGCTCGGCCACAGGAAGCAGCAGTGCCAGAGAAGAGAAAAAAGGTAGAAAGGAGAGCAAGGAAAGAAGCAGACTGGAACCAAGGTCGGGGGTTAGGGAAAATAGCACACAAGAGAACAAGGGATAACACCCCAACCTCGGGGCCGGCAACACATCGGGATCAACCCGCAGTGCATCGTGTGCCTGGGGGATCGACCGACGTAGAGCAAAACATGAAGCAGGAAAACACAAGATACTAGGACAAGCAGGCCCACGGTTTGCGGCTAAAGGCAAACGGTGGGCGTTAGGGCGTTGGGCGACAAAGAAGAAAGAGCAAGGACAGCAAAGCCAAAAAGCAAAAACGCAAGCTAAACCCCGTCAGAGGAGGTCAGCCTCGGAGAGAGGAGAAGGAGGGGAAAGAGATGGATAAGAAAAGGAAGTGGAGGTTGCATGCAACAGCGGCGAGTCGACATGACGCTGATCGGGGTTGATGGTTTAGCCAGCTTGTGTGGTTTGCTTAATACTTGAGCTCCTTGGCCTGCTCCCAGGTGAACTGGTCGCGGCCAAAGTGGCCGTACTTGGCGGTCTCGTAGAAGATGGGCTTGCGCATGTCGAGGTCGCGGACAATGACACCGGGGCGGAGGTCAAAGTTGTTCTTGACAATTTCGAGGAGCTCTTCCTTGGACTTGGAGCCGGTGCCGTAGTCATCGACAAAGAGGGAGATGGGTTCAGCGACACCAATGGCGTACGAGACCTGGACGAGGACGCGCTTGACGAGGCCGGCCTTGACGAGGGACTTGGCGACCCAGCGGGCGGCGTAGGCGGCGGAGCGATCGACCTTGGAGTAATCCTTGCCGGAGAAGGCGCCACCACCGTGGGCGCCCCAACCACCGTAGGTATCGACGATGATCTTGCGGCCGGTGAGACCGGCATCACCCTGGGGACCACCAATGACGAAGCGGCCCGAGGGCTGGAGATGGAAGACGGTCTTGTCATCCATGAGCTCGGCGGGGACGACGACGTTGATGACCTTCTCGCGGAGATCCTTGCGGAGCTGCTCGTTGGTCACGTCCTCCGAGTGCTGGGTGGAGATGACAATGGTGTGAACGCGCTTGGGGATGGTGGCGCCGTCCTTGAGCTCGTACTCGATGGTGACCTGGGTCTTGGTGTCGGGGCGAGCCCAGGGGAGGGTACCGTCGCGGCGGCAGACGGCGAGCTGGTGGTTGAGCTTGTGGGCGAGGACGCAAGTGAGGGGCATGCACTCGGGGGTCTCGTCGGTGGCGTAGCCAAACATGATGCCCTGGTCACCGGCACCAATGTTCTCCTCGGTTTTGCCGCGGCCATCCTTGTCGACGCCCTGGGAAATGTCGACGCTCTGCTGCTCAATGGCGACGAGGACGTTGCACGTCTTGTAGTCAAAGCCCTTGTCGGACGAGTCGTAGCCAATGTCCTTGATGGCACCGCGAATGACCTTTTGGTAGTCAATGACGGCGTTGGAGGTGATCTCACCAAAGACCATGATCATGCCCGTCTTGCTGGCCGTCTCGCAGGCGACACGCGAGTTGGGGTCCTGCTTGAGGCAGGCATCGAGCACGGCGTCCGACACCTGATCGCAAATCTTGTCGGGGTGGCCCTCACCGACCGACTCCGAGGTGAACAAAAACGTCTCAGACATGATGATCAGGTCAAAGGAAGCAGCCCAGCCGTCCAAATCAAAATCTCTATTGGGAGGGGGGGGGGGCAAAGGAGGAGGAGGAAATAAAAAAAAAATGGTGAGGTCAGGCCATGAGGCACACGCAGAGCATGCATGGGAGAGGGGGGGGGGAGAAGTGGAGGTGAACCCCGACACGATAGCCGAGGCACCCTTGAGGGCATGCATGCCATGTATCAGAGCGGAGAAAGAGAAGGAGAGAGGGAAGAGGGACAGGCAGGGCCGTACCCCGACGGCAGCGCCCCTTCCCCAAACACGTGCACCACCCTCAAAGAGAGAGTCAGAGAGAGAGAGAGAGAGAGAGACACACACACACACACACGTCGCATAGAGGGGGAACAGACCAAAACTAGAGGTAGAAAAATGGTAATGGGAGTGCTGTGTGCTGTTAGTAGCTGGGGCTGCTTGTACCAAAGACCACAGCAGAGCCCCACGAGGCCACTGACACAGTGAGAGAGAGGCCACACACACACACACACCATTAGTGTCCACGTCCACACCTTGCTTCATAGCAATAAAGCGAGAATGAGAATGATGGGAGGTGATGGCTATACCTTGGACCTTACTGCTTGCTACCTTGCTGGTAATAAAGAAACACTGAGAACCTTGTTGGCCATGTGACTCAACACAAAAGAAAAAAAGACAAAAGAAAGAGGGATAAAAGAAAGATAAAAGAGAGAGAGAGAGAGAATGAGAGAACGTGCAGGCGTGTGTGATCTCTCTCTCTCTTCTGCTTCTCTCTCTCTCTCTCACTTTGTCTCTGTCTCTGGCTCTGTGTGCTGTGCTTCATGAACAAGTGTCGGCATGACGCAAACCACAGAACCAAATGACACACACGCACACGCATACCAGCACACACAAGGGCAGCCAGAGAATGGAAAGGGAATGGTCAAAGTCGTGTCGTGGGTATGGGTGCCTGCCTCGCGCAGGAGGGAGGCATCGGGGTTGGCAGACAAGAGGGTGTGATCATGGGTGTGTCGGGGAGCGCGATCCTTTCTTTGGCGCCACAAAGTCACTGACACTTGGCTCCATCTCGGCGCCCAATCCAAACACGCAAGCAGATCAGACCAAACACATTCACGAACAACGCTTGCAGCCAATCGAGGGATGGAACCGAGAACAAGTGTGCGTCAGAAAACAGACTGGACGGGATCAAAAGAGCCGGCCATTCAGAGGGTGGCGCTGCCGTTTCAGGCCGTGCTTGCCTCGCTTACCAGGGGGGTGCTGTAAAAATGGCTTGACACTTCAAAGAGAGAGGCGGTGCGCGTCTTGATCTGGTTCAGGGAAGAGCCGCAGTTGGCAATGCGCGAGCGTGTGAAAGTAAAGCAGAAAGCAGAGATGGTGGTCAGGTTGCGATCTTGGGCAGAGCGGCACGTCGGACTATACGGACACGTGAGTGGTGTGCTGTTCAATGTGTAACAAAAGCCACATTTTGTTTAATAAAAGTGTAATCGAGTGTGATGTTGTTCTAGAAGGCTGGGTGCTGACGTTGCAAAGGTCCCAAAGTGACCTAGAATACACTGTTTGGAGCCGTTCTTTAATATAAAGTATATAAGGTTAGAGGGGTATGGTCGTGTGGCATTTTGTGCGCCGAAGAGCCGCAGATCATGCCACACAATGTGCGCCAACCCGTTGAACGGCGGCGCCGATGCTGATACTGTGGACTGGCCGGTCGATCGGTCGGTTCAGCGCACCCAAGATGTGCCCGCCCAAGACTCGACGACATAGCCTCGAGGCCGCAACGACGCCTTGATGAACGACCCAAGAACCTCCTCGTCACGACCCGGAACTTGCCCATGCCTGAGATGGAAGCCAATAGAAGCACTCAGACTGTGCACACACAGCACAGCGCAGCACACAGCGTACTGTACAGCACAGCGCACCCAGTACAGCACATCGAACACGACACAGAATCGCACCGGGTGCGAATTCAAAGGTTGTGCGGTTTGTGCGGTTCTCGAAAGACACACACACACACTCCTCCTGCTGACGAAGAAGACAGAATAACAAACTCAACGCCTTTGGAATCTCATGGACGGCTGCAAAAGCGTGACCAGGTGTGACATGAAGTAACATGGGGTGGATATGTGAATCTGCTTCAACCGTCAACATGACGTTGTTAACACGTGCCAACCCTAATTTGGTGTGTTTCTTCGCTTGTGGGTACACAATTTGCGACACAAACCTAAAATATTACTGCATGTTCTAACAATAATAACATTATAAGACCTTCAATATCTCAGTTACTCACAGCAATAAGTCCTCTTAACCGTTCTCTTTTGTCTAGAATCTTGAGTTTGGTAGGGAGACCAAGCGCCCTATGGATGGGCCAGAACAAGAGATGGGGTGCAGCGCCAGGACCAAAGGCAGAGAAGCGGACATGATCGCTTTCTCGCAGCAGAGAGATTGACACTGTGGATGTTTCGTTCAGAGACAGGCACTCCTCAAAGTTTCTTCAACCGTTTCTTAAGCTTGCTTGCCCCTTTAGCAAAGAGAAGCTTTTACCCACCAGGCGTCTGTCAGAGACCGCGCCACACCATTCAGATTAGCCAGAGGGGCATACGGGTTTGGACTACCAGGACAGAGAACGGCACATCACACAGCATAGCGGGCAAGCGCGCGCCATCGGCTCCAGCCCGCCGGCGATCTCGCGCGTGCGCGGCTCTTCGGGTGGCATTTTACTGCTGCTCCGGACCCCGACACTGCTCTCACACTGCAGCTTCTCTCTCTCTCGCCCCCTTTGTTGGTTTTCAACTTGTGCTCGACGGCCCCCGCCCTCGCCAGCACCACCCTCGCAATACTGTTGCCTTGCGTGTTGTCTTTCCTTCTTGCTCCCGAAAGAAACCGCCAACAAGTATAGAGCCCTGCCCCCGCGCGTTCACACCACCGCCCCCGCTCCCTTTCCCTCTTGTTCTTTTGGCATCACCGCTGGTGACTGTGATTGGAACGTTCTGCTGTCCTCTTTCTTGTGGCCATCTCCTCGCCTCCCGTCCTCTATCTTCCCCTTCTTCTTCTTCTTCGTCGTTGGCCGTGCATCTTCCAACGTCGACCCTTGCCCTCACCCTGTGGCCCTCGTTGCCCACGGTCGCCTCGATCTTGTTCTCCCGAATCTCCGTTGTTCGGCAGTGCGCAAGCCTACCAAGCTCGCCCTTCTGTCGCTCACCCTCCACCTGTCCTGCCACCCCGACGACGCCGACCTGCCGCCCGCCATTACTCGGCGTCAACCCAACCACGTTCAACAAGCATCTGCTGTGGACTGAGCCCTGAACGCGGTCTTTCGTTCTCTCTTAAGCGCCTCGGTTGAGTGACTTGCATTTTCCAAGGTTGGTTTTGTGGTTGACTCTTGTGTGCTGCGTGCTGCATGTGTGTGTGTGTGTGTGTGTGTGTGTGTGTGTGTGTGTGTGTGTGTGTGTGTG